GTCTAGGGTCTTTAGAGACCCCCTTGACCGCCCTAACCATATGGCCAAGGTGCTTCCAGAGCACGTGCTAGATGGATCGAGGGGAGATGTTTTCCTATTGCTGTCTAAGCACTTGTGTCAACCCTGATTTAAAAAAAAAAAAAAAGAACATCTACAAGTCAGGGGGCTGATTTGGATCTATGCCCACTCCTCGGTATCTGCCAGCAATAGCATTACCTATAAGAAGCAACAGCAACTTTGACTGGGATTCTTGCTTCTTAGCAGCTGCTCAGAAACTCACCAATTTATATCAGAGTGGATCCTGAGCTGGCGTCCGATGGGAACAACTTTTTGGTCATTGCCGACCTGGTGAAACAGTGGTTTGGAGGTGAAAGACTCAATATTGCATTTCCAGTTCTTTCCACCACCCAGTACCCTTAACAAAGCAAAAATAATTATAGACTTATTTACCCTAAATCCCTTAAATCCCATAAGATTAGGGTAGTTGCAGTCTAATCCAGTATTTGAGAAGGATTTACCTGTTTTAATACAACCATTTATTATAATCGCTCAAGTTATTTTTTTCATTCATAATTAACATGCAGACAAAAGAAGGGAATAAGTTAGGGTTGAGTTTTCAAGAGCATCCACTGATTTTGGGGGGACCTTGGTTGGGGGGGTGTGCTAATTGACACATGTCAGAATAGACTCGATTTAATGCTTCAGCAGCCTCTGTCATGTGCCTTCAGCATCCCCACGTTTCAAAATCTTGGCGAGGGCACTTTAGTTAAAGTTCATTGAATGAGTTTAGTTAGTGTCCCCGCCACCATTGGGAAGTGTGGGACGCTGAATACACATGACGCTGTGGGCGCTTTAATTAGAGCGGCTCTTATAGCTACTCTAATTAACATGCCCCCGCCCTACACCCTGGAGCACATGTATAGGCACCCTCAGTGTTCAGTGCCCAGTTTGAGCCACATTTAAATGTCTGATTTGCAGAAAGTAGACCTGCAGCTTCTGAAGATCAGACTTTTTCAAGGTATCGCAGATGGGGCAACCCCGGCCTTGAGGCATCCTTGAATCCCTAGACCCTTTTGAACACGTAGGCCTGAGTTTTGCAGCACACAAACGTTTCATTAAAACTGAAGCAAGAGAGTCCTTTAAAATATTCAGAGCAAATGCCTTCTTGACCACTTGCTTTATTGTGGTTTATAGGTACAGAAGTACTGTTGTTAACTGGATGGTGATTAGTCCTTTATAGCTGCTCCATGAGATTAACAAGCACCTCCGCTCTGAATGCCAGCGGGAGTTGTGCTTCTGCGTTCCTTCAGTGCTTTTGGAAATCTCCCCTTCTAGGCATCATTTTCAAACCCAGGAGACTAAAAGTTGGCTTCTAAATCCATATTTTGGCAAGCAAATAAAAGCTGCCCATACAAATTTCTCCCAGCACTTGCAAACGGCAGTGGCAGAAGTAGGTATGAGAGTCTTTTCTGAAGGATTGGTCACTCACTTAGATGCCTAAAATAGGCACTTGCAGACACCCAACTTTAGGCACTCCAGTTGGAAAAAGTTGGCCATAATACACGCATCCAGCGAGTCAAAGGTTTCCATTCTCCATGCACTCCAGTTAGTCTTATGCAAAACAGGGCACATTCACAGCAGCATGGTCGCAGTAAGCCCTGGGGGAAGAGGAAGGGTCTGATTTCAGACAAAATTGGAAAACCTTGAAAGCGGGGAGACTAAGAAGAAACAGGTGGCAGGCTAGTAATTTGGCCTCGGCAGTTTATTTGGTTAACGAACAGAAGCCCAAGCTGTCAGGCCCAGGTCAAACACTCCACCAATGGAGTATATTTATTTCATACACGATCTGTTACCCAAACTAATTTCTGGATTAGAGTCTTGTACAGCTCCGGCCCCAGTGGAAATGTCCTGTTCTTACCATCCAGCCTGATGCCTCATGCGGGGAGGGCTGGGGTGCTCATTAGTGCTGTGCAGACACTTGTGTGTTTCCTGCGTCATCAATAAATCTTATAATTGTGATGCTCACCATTTCAAATGCTGGCTTCCAGTTGTGTGTCTGCAAATTGAGCCCACAAATCCAGCGCTTTAATTCCTCCATTAACTTGAACTGCACACACTTGCCCTGCTTTTGCCAACAAAATTGGATCATTTCTACAAACGATCCCAGAACTATTTTTTGTTGTTGAGTGAAAGCAATGTTGTTAGGACCTTAGGCACTGATCCTGCAAATGTGCAAACATGTTTAACTTTAAATGTGCAAATAGCTCTATTGACTTCCCTGGGACCGTTCAACTGCTTCAAGTTAAGTGTATGCACACATGGCTGCAGGATGAATACCTTTAAGATTAAGAGCAACATGACATGCATTAAAAAGGAAGGGAGAAAAAATGCGTTTCTTCCCCTGATATTTTAAAAGACATGGAGACAACCCAAGAAAGAGGAGGTCAGGGCAGCAGCTCCAGCAGGGCAGGAGCTGTAGAGGAAAAGGCTTTGCCATGCTGTGGTACAAGACTGCCAGATATGGAAAAAAGTGTTTTTTGCTTGATAAATGCTGCAGATGAAATGCTGCATGGTGGCACTAAGATGCAACACAGAACTTGAACAGTTTTTCTCTGCTTGATTCAACCTGCCCAGGTGAAGGTTGAAGTGAAGAAGAGCACTACCTCTCCGCAGGCACCCTCTTTGGGCGTGGATACCGAGGAGCTGCTTCTCTAGGTGGCTCAGGAGTTAGCCCTTTATAATTGTTTTCCCTTCTGCTGGTAAGGCAGGAAGGTAGCAAAACCATGCCATTGGAGTGCCATATTTTCTTGCATACAATATGCACCCCCTCCACCCCCCCAAAGCCCTTTCCCCGCAAAAAAAGCCTTCCCAAATTGGGGTGGGTGTAGAAAATCAGCTTAATGTCTGGAGTTGGAAGCATCCTGATTTGCCTCCCGTTTCACAGGGCAGCAGCTGTGGTACGCTTGTTCAGGCAATTGTGGGAGTCTTTTGACTTAATGTTTCCTTATTCTTCTCTTGGCAGGTGTTAACTCTTCTCTCCTTGTTAATGGTCTTCATCACTAATCAAATGAATCTTTCTTAGGGTAATTTTTCTACCTACTAGCTGCTCCTCCTCTCTATTTCACAGCTTCTTTAACTCGGGTTTTTTAGCTGTTTAATACAGACCCTTGAGCTCTTTTCAAAACCATATATCCATCCTCAGAGGCCATAGAGGTGAGTTCAGCACCAGCTTTGGTGATGCCAAAAAGGGAAGGTGAGCAAATTGAAGATTAGGCTCTCTCCCAGCTCTATGCAGCCATAACTCTGGAAAAAAATCTTTTCCCCCTTCTTTCTGCCTTTCAAAAGCAAGGCTATTATATTTGGAGAAGTGTCGTATGCAAGAAAATACGGTATTTGTGCATTAAGCGCCATTGACTTGAAAGCTATCAGTCAGCCTACAGAAAGGCAATCCAATCTAAATTGCACACGTCAAATTAAAAATATCGAGGTTGTGAGGAACGAAACCCTTGATGTGCTCATGGCTGGATTACAGTCAAGTGCGGGATGAAATGTATGCATCATGCAGCACAAATGGGAGTTGCTGGAATTTTATATCAAGGCGCGTTTTTAAGATAGGAGGACTTTTTTTTTAATCCAAGCTGCTCACTGCTCTGTTCATTTTTGCTCACCAAGGCAATGTGAGGAAGATTTGGATTGATGCAGTGGCAGTCCAACTCACTTTGGTCAGAAAGTTCCCGTCTGGTTTCCTGGAAGTATTTTGGCTGGTCCAGTTAATTCCTGTAACTTAAGCAGCTAGTGCGCTCCAGTAAATCTCAGCTGCTGGATGGCCTTCAAGCATGACAGTTGAAACTGGAACAGAGAAAGGGATCTAGCTGTGGGTTTTCCCCAAGACCTGTAGAAAGGTGGTAGGACTGCCCCATGGCGCCGGATGGTTTCAGTATATGCCACCGACACATCTCCTATAGTGGGCCAACAGAGATGTTTAAAATAAAGTAAGTGAAAGTTGGGAGGATGCCTGCAGAGAAGTAAATGTGTCTGGAGGTCAGAAATGAAAGTGTGTTTAAGGACAACACAGTTTTGGGGTGCATTTAATTACCCAGGCATACATTTTTTTCCCAGCTGGTTGGTGTGGGCCAGGCCTGGGAAAGATGGGTTGGGATTTTGGTATTCTGTGCTATTCTCCACTGTAAGATATTGTTCAATGCATCCTTCACCCCTCCTTACTCCGGCAAAACTCTGGATGATTTTTCTCCACTGACTTTGGGCATGAAAGCACCTGTGTTGAACAGACAGCAAGCAAGGGAAGTTTTCTCTGGCCAGTAAGTGCCGAGTAGGGTCTTAAGGATATGTTATTTCAGGTGGGTAAAAAATTGGAAAGGGCACATTTGAGCAAAAAGATTAGTTTTTAATTTAAAAAATGAATGTATCTGCATCCAGGCAAACTGCAGATTTCTGGGCAGCCTGAGTTATCGCTGTGACGGGCCGTGCCTTTTTGTTTCTCAGCACGTGATAAAAGGTTCATGGTCGTGCGGACTAAACCTCTGGATCTCGCTACCACTTTCCACGCTCTTCAGTCATAGAAACCCCCTGGTCCATCCTCAGTCTCCTTCCTCCCCACTGTCAGTGGCTGTCTCTTAAAGGCTTGCAATTCCCCCGCCTCTCGCTCCCTCCACCCCGTTTTTACACTGATGATATAATAACCTACAAAATCAAATCCAGTCAGAGCTTTTATTATTTTTTTTTGAAGAACTGAATGAAACCTTTGAGGTCTTGAGTGTCTTCAACAGCTGCAAGGTCCTGGGGAACGGAGAGCACTTGATACCTTGCAGAATCGCAGGCCGCTTCTGTTTCCGGTTATTGGGGTGAGGAATGTCGCCGGTCGCCGTCGTTCTTTACGTCTGGATTGTGCGAAGCGTTGGGCTTTCCCTTGCGGCGTTGCTTTTGCTTTTTCTCCTGTTCAAGAAATGACTGAAATGTGGGTGTGTGTGTTTTGTGTTCCTCAGGGTTGCTGAGCTGGAATATGCATGTCTAAGATGGAAACTTCTGCTTCAACTGCTGCTGGGAAAAAGGAAGGGAAAGGTGCAATTCTGGAGGGGAATAGCTTTACAGAGACGGGGAAGAAACCTGCTCCCTTAGCAGCGGCGACGGCGGCAGCGGCGGCGGCAGCGGCGGCGGCGGCACAAGGAGGTATTTAATGTTTTCCACACTTTGAAAGCAGCAGGGGTGTCTTTCATTAGACTGTTACGATTTAATACGAATGGTGGCATATGTCCTCGTGTAAACATGCTGAGTTTATTGGGGTTCCCAGCCTGGAAGGTCACCAGAATTGAAGGCTGACAGCTTGCAGGCGCTCTGCCGCCGTATGCAGTGCACCAGGTCGTTGTACCACGCCGGTCTGCTATCGCTCGTGACAAAATTGGGTTTAGGGGTAGAGAAAACGAAGTTTCCACTGACGTGGAATCAAATCTGAATTAAACTTAACTGGAAGAGACTTCTGAGCATCGGCCACTGCTGCCCACTCTGCATTGGCTTTCTGTGATGCATAGGGCATATTTCTGTTGCATGTTACAATGTCAGGTGGTGGGGTTGGTAAAGCTAAGCAGATTTCGTATTAGCATCATCACAGCAAATGGTGCGTGCTTCTTGCATCTGCTTTGATTTTTCCAATGACTGCTGTAGCCTTTTTGGTCCTTGCTTTTGGTTTTTTGCTGCTAGGAAAGGACCCTGGATCGCTCTGAACCATGCAAAATGGCACGCAAGTACAGATCCCCCACCGCAATTTCTCAATATTTCTGTTGCATCAGAAATAGTCCAGAATTTGATTTCCTTCTCTCCGTTGAGCACGTTCGCTAAGTGTTTGAGCATATTGCCATTGAGGCCAGTAGCACTCCAATGGTTACAAGGGTTGCACGTCGATATATTGACAGTATAGGCAGCAATTTAAACATGACTTGCAATGGCAGAGAGCGGGGGCATGTTGGCCTGTTTCTTTGCCCAGCCCTGCACCTTCAGGGACTAGAAGAAAAGGTGGATCAGTTCCTTGCAAGACTGAGCGGGGGAAACCCTGCCACATTTAAAGGCTGTGTGTGAGCTCTCAATCAGGCGGGAAGGTCAACCAGCTGCATTTCATTAACTCTGGAGGTAAAAGGGAGTGGAGCCACTTGCAGTGGGCCCCTTCGCACTAGGGAAAATTTCCCTCGCAGGCTGCAGAGGAGCCGTCTCCAGGGCCCAGTAGGATGGAGCAAAGGGCAGCCCTGGGCTCAGGGATGCGAGTAACTTGATGAGAGTGCAGCCTCTTAAAACAAGGGGGATTTACTTTGATAAGACAGGGGGGTTCAGAGCTCAGGACCGGCCAGGCCCCATGCCATGTGCACGCAGCAGACTTATCCCGCTCTGGGGATGAAAGAAAATACTGCGTGTTGGCAACCAGTATCTGGACCCTAAATTAAATGTGGCGATTGACACTGGGAGTGCATGTCAGTGTTAAGACCGAATGAGGAAAGGATCTGGTTCCTAAACAGGGGATTATAATGGCTGTGTAGGATCCCATTGCCCTTTTGTCTCTTGCCTGCTGAGCTGCATCCGTCTCCCAACAACTGCGCGTACCCCAGCTCTGAATGCCAGCGCGAGGAGCTCTTTTGGCATTCGGTGATGTTTTCAGGTACCGGGAAAGGAAGGTTTCTTGGCTCAGGTGGACAGTATCACCTTCTTCTGTCTGGGTACAGAAGCAGAATGACCGCTCCCAGGACGGTGTGGAAAGAGAGTTAGATCTCTACCATTTGTGTGTGACCAGTGGCATCCCCAGGTCTATGGATTTGTTAGTAAAAAAATGCACTGCAGAGCTAGCTAGTTTCTACCTCAACATGAATCCTCCTATTCCTCCTTGCATGCCTAGTAATGACTCATCTCAAGAAAGCAGCAAGTGCATGTACGGGCTGCTGCATGGTGTCGGTAGCAAGAGTTAGTAACTTGAGTTTCGCTTTCAGTTGGCAGAGCTAAGATAGCTACCCCTGCCTTTCCTGCATCAGCTGTATAAATCTGTTTTACGCATCCATCCTTTCCAAAGCTCGCGCTACATCTAAGAAACATAGTGGAAAGTTCAAATGTATGGGACAAGGAGACCACTGTTGGTATGTAGCAAAGCAGAGTCGTTCATCCCCTCGATCAGTCTTGTCAACCAAGGAAGAGTCTCTTAAAAAAACCCAGAAGAGCTCTTACAAAGTAATGCTTAGGAGACAGGGCTGGGCTGAATCCAATCTTGAATGGGCTGGGATCTGAACTTCTTGTAACAATTACTTGTTCATATTTAGGGAATGGAAAAATTTGTGGGAGTGACATCTGCAAATCTGCCATCAAGAGGCCAAATCTGACTGCTGCTAAATAAGTATAAGAGTATGATTTGGAAAATATTGAGGCATCTCTTTAACATGATCCGTGCCCAGAACAGCATCCACCACCCTGGGCATGTTATAAAGACCAATTGATGTCAATGAGACTTTAGCGTAGGCTTAATTTTAGTCCTTGCTTAGCTGCTATTGTGAGCGGAACGCTTTTTGAGATTGGTACCTAAATCTGAAATAACTTTATCGAGGACAACTCAATTATTCTGGATTTATAAAGGTGAAACTGAGACCAGAATCTGCCCCCAAAGCTGCGTTTTCTCCACCGTTTGGTTTCCAACTGGAGACTTGTTTCTTTTTTTATGCATGTGACATTGCGTTTCACATTAGCTGAGTGCTATCTACTCTGAAATGAATGATTTACAAGCTCAACATTTCTCATCTTATTAAACCGAAGTGGAAAAGTAAGAAGAAGATTGTTTGAAGATGTCAGGAGAAGTATGATGAAAGCATTGTGTAATGAGATGTAAAGAGCAAAATCTATATCATGCTGTGAAAAGAAGTGTTAATAAATTACCTAAAATGGCAAGCAGTAGAGTAGGCTCCAGATCTGATAGTAACCTAGAAACTTTATGAGCAGTATGAATGTTATTTTATTTTTTGAAGATCTCCCTCTGAAATCTGAACAGGATGAAGTGAGGGTTTCCAAAATGGAAAAGTTCCTCGAAAGGCCAGCGGTGTGTGTTTACATGTCTCTATATAGAAAATGAATTGGACTGCTTCATTTACGTAGGAGGATTGCAGTGATGTCGCCGTGATGATCCAAGAAATATGAGAGCGGATACGAGGTTTTGGTGATTTTTTTTAATTGGACCAGTGCATCCTTGAGAGCGATGTGTAAACTGTGATTTAGTCACACATGCATGATCATACTTAGCACTTCAGTAGCAATCTTCATGCTTAAAGTTCTTAGCAGATGTGGGTTAATTACTTGGGAAAGTCCTGTGAGATGGGTGCCATTTGTATACTCCTATTTTACAGACATGGAAAACTGAGGCAGAGGCATAACCAAAAGAGGGGGGCAGTCCTGAAACATTTGAGTTTTTCAGCTCCCAAAGGCCACAAGCACACGTCTCTGTCTGCTCCAACATTAAGTCCTAGATTTTATTTATTATATAGATTATACTTTCCCTATTGGCACTGCCTACCTACTACATTATCCCGTGCTAATGTTGCAGCTGCAACGCATGTTCTCCAGATCCAGACAAACATGCTCCACAGTCCTCTTTCTTCCCCCTCTGCTTGTGTCTGAGCCCTTTTCAGTTTGGTCAGGCGTCAACAGGCCAAGTTTTTCTGACTAAAGCATTTTTTCCTTGTCAGATCTGAATAGATTCACAAGGATCTGCTTTTAATTAAGACGTGATAAAGTGACACAGTAACCCGAATATTCACGAAGCCATTTAAGAACCCGCATGGCTTTTATATATTTTTGTGACTTTCTCCCTTCCCTTCTACTTAGCTGGCTCCGAATATTGGTCCCAAATGCTGTCTGCAGCCTTGAACAAATGAAGTTATGGCTGGAGGAAAGGAGATTGGCATTGTGGATGCTGTCAGTGCCGAGGGGTTCTTTCGCACTGACAATCTGCATCTCATATTTTTAGTCTCCTAAACCTGCCATTTTAGAGATCTTCTTTGACATTTTTTTTATAGTAACCCATTGATCAGATGTTCAGAAATTGGTCTTGTAGAAATGACATCGGGGAGTCTCTTCTAATTTTCTGTTTTTTCTATAAATCATACTGGCAAAGGAGGCCCCCCCCTCCCTGCCCCCCCCACCTTTTTGGTTTCCAGAAGTGCGTGTGTTTGCAGGGGGAGGTTTTGATGGTGATATTCAGGAAATACAGGCACTCACATCTTGCAGTCGCGGCCTCATTTTTTGGAGCATACTTTGCAATATTCAGGGTTTTTGAATGCAGTTCATATTCCTTCCCAGGGCAAAGGGCAGAGTCTGCATTTGGTCTCGGGACTTCCCCCCATATAATGAAGAACAGGCTTGGCTTCAAGGGTGCAGGGCTTGTCTCTCCCTATGTGCATGGCCAGGTTGAGTTGACCTATATATTTTAAATAAGTCGCACTTTAAATTGTTGAGCTGTCTGGTTGGGGGGCTCACTTCTGATCCCGGTCAGAAATTAAATCAAAATTGTAGAAGGGGCTAACGACCCGGTATTAACAAGACCCAGAATGCACCGTCCCCTCTCAACTCCCCTCCCGGGACACAAACACCCAGTTGCTAAATTGATGGTGTTTATGTTTGAAACATTTTTCTGATGTCTGGTGCTGTCAAGACTAATTTTAGCATTTCTAAAGCTGGGTAAAAATACAGCCTCATTACTTTGATGTCAGAGCATAGTTTACTATTAGTATATTCTGGGGTTTATCATTTTAGTCATGTTTAACACGGCTGCAGCAGGCATGCACTATTAAATCTGGCTTATTTTACATTCCTGTCCGGGATTATTTATTTGGAACAATTTCCTCTCTATCAAAAGACACGGCTAATGCTGAGTTTTAATGTGTTATTTACACACAAAATAACCTATTTACAACTCGGTATCTGCCGGAGGGAGAATGAATGGGGCAGTGCTCCCTCCATTCTGTTCTATCTGAGTTTAACAATCTGGATTGCTAATAGAACCATTTATCATGGGGCGGTAATTTATTTTATGTTAGCTGCACAGGTCTCACTGCCTGTGATCTATGGAAATACTTTGTCTATAATGAAGTTCAACAAGTCACTTGCTGTAAACACGGGAAAACCAAGCTGTAGAAGCAGGGAAGCTCAAGCTG